CGGCCTTTTCTCGGGTTTCCTGGAGTTCCGTCACAAAATTTTGTGACCTCGGGACCGGGTTGTCGAGAGAAGTTGCGGTAGGAAACGTCGGGTCCATCCCGTAATTCAGGAAAAACGGGGAGTGATTCGTTGTGCTGGACGGCGCGTTGTTGAAGGCAAACTCCAACATTGCGAGTGAATCCTCCCAGCGGGCCGGGTCGGGGCAGTTTGTCCTGATTAGCTGCTCCATGGTCTGATTGGTCCGCTCTGTTTGACCGTCCGCCTGTGGGTGATATGCCGTTGAGAACTGTAGCTTCGTGCCGTACTGCGCCCACGTCTCCTTCCAAAACTTGGATGTGAATCGCGGGTCTCGGTCGCTGATGATCGCCGAGGGGCTGCCGTGCAGTCGCACGACCGTGGAAATGAAAAGTCGCGCAGTTTCTTCGGCTGTAATTGTCGTTTGGCATGGTGCGAAGTGCGCCATTTTCGTGAAGCGATCGACGACGACGAGAACAGCGTCGTTGCCGGACAGCCCAGCTGGCATCCCCGTGACGAAATCCATCGTCACTTGCTGCCACCGTCGTTCGGGTGGCTCGAGGGGTTGCAGCAGCCCAGCTGGTCGTTCACGTGTTGATTTCATAGCTTGGCACACCCTGCATGACGACACATATCGCTGCACGTCGTTAGAGGATTCAGGCCAATAATATTGACGATGCAGTAATTTCTGGGTTTTATCAACCCCGAAGTGTCCGGAGAAATTCGAATCGTGAACCTCCTGGATGAGAAGTTCACGCAGCAGCCGGTAAGCGGGAACCCAAATCCGGTCGGTTCCGGCTTTTAGGTAATAATCCCCTTTCTGCGTCGTGGCCTGCTGATGATTCCCGGTCGTGAAGAATGGGTTCGTGGTGTAGCCGTGGGTGAATAGTCCTGTAAGTAGCGGGTTCGAATGGGTGATGAGTACTGCAACGGATTGTACTGTCGGTCGGGTCAGGGCGTCGGCGATGTTATTCGCCCCTTTCTTGTACGTGATGCGGTAGGTGAAGTGGCTCTCCATGTAATCCAGCCACCTAATCTGTCGTGGGTTGAGGTTGGGTTGGGCTCGCAGGTACTGCAGGGACTTATGGTCCGTGCGAACAGTGACGTCGGCGCCTACCAGGTAGCATCGCCATAATTTAAACGCGTGTATGATGGCGAGCATCTCCTTGTCGTGAATCGGATAGTTGCGTTCGGCTGCCTGCAGCTTGCGTGATTCGTAGGCTATCGGCTGCAATCCGTTCCCGAAGTCTTGGAGAAGCACAGCTCCGATGGCGAAATCTGAGGCGTCGGTTACAACTTCGAACGGCTTCGACGGGTCGGCGATGCGCAGTACAGGAGGGGAAACGAGAAAATTCTTGAGTTCCTGGAAAGTCGCGTCTGCCTCCTCCCCCCACACAAAATTTTTGTCCTTGTGCAGCAGGTCGATCAGCGGGCCGGTTATCCCCGCCATATTCGGGATAAAACGCCGGACGTAATTCACGAATCCGAGAAAACTCTGGAGTTCCGTGACGTTCGTCGGGGACTTCCACTCCTGTATGGTCTTGATTTTCGCCGGGTCGATTTTAATGCCGTCGCGCGAGATTACGTGCCCCAAAAACTCCAACTCCTGCTTAAAAAACTCGCACTTAGAGCCCTTGGTGATGAGTCGGTTTTCCTGCAGCCTTTTAAACACTGCATCCAGGTCTCGGAGGTGCTGCTCCCGTGTCTTGCTAAAAATGAGGATATCGTCCAAGTAGACGATGACACACCGGTCTAGAAGATCCCGAAAAACCCTGTTCATGGTCAATTGATAAGTCGAAGGCGCGTTCGTGAGGCCGAAAGGCATCACTGTAAATTCGTAACTCTCGTAGCGTGTGCGAAACGCAGTCTTGTGACAGTCGTCGGCGAAGACTCGGATCTGGTGGTAACCGCCACGTAAGTCAATCTTCGAGAAATAGCGAGCGCCGCGAAGTTGGTCGAGGAGGTCGTCGGTGCGTGGGATTGGGTAGCGAGACTTGATGGTGACCCGGTTCAGCACACAATAGTCGATACACATGCGAAGCCCGCCGTCCTTCTTCGGAGTGAACAGGATCGGTGTTGCGAAGGGAGATGTGCTGGCCCGAATAAACCCCTTCTCCAACAGTGCATCAATTTGACTTCGCAGCTCCTCGAGTTCCGGCTGGGTCAACCGCCACTGTGTCCGAACAGTCGGCTGCGCGCCAGGTTCCAGCTGGATTTTGTGGTCCTCAGGTCTCTCGGGTGGCAGTCCAGGTGGCAAGTCGTCGGGGAAAATGTCCGGGTACCTCCGAATCAGCTCCGCTAAATCCGGTGGTACAGCTGCACACAGCTTCTCGATGTCCTTTCCCTCGGTGTCGATTGCCAACTCGCGTAAGCAAACAGCGAACAGCTGCGCGCCTCTGTTGAAGTGGCGAGCTATAGTGATAGCTTTGACGCACGGGGCTTGGATGTAGTCAGGTGTCCATGCAGGTAATTTTATTAACCCCTCGTGCTTGCTGATGCTGCACAATCCCGTTGTCCAGTCGATGACGGGGTTGTGCCGTCGCAGCCAATCACGTCCCAGCAGTACGTCGCAGCCGTCCAATGTTGTCGCGAGAAACTTCATGCTGAAGCCGAAATCGTCGCCGCAGTCGATCCTGACCGTCCGTGTTTCTTCCGTTATCGCCAGAGGCGTCCCATCCACGAGGCGAGCGTCAATTTTGGGCAGACACCTGTCAAGTTGCAGCTTCCATCTTTTTGCGCTCGCCAAGTTGAAGAGGCTATGGCTGGCCCCCCTATCGACGAACATTTTCAGATTATTTTTTAACACCTTGCCAGCGACCAGCACATGGTGATCCACATGATTATCCCCGTTATTCGGCCGAGTGCGATCGATTGCATGAATCGGAACCACGACTCGGTGGGGATGATAGTGTTCGGGCGACGGAGCACAGTCAGTAAAGGGCCCGCTAATTACTGACTCTTCCCATTTCCCTGCTCCTTCCTGTCGTCCCATGTCAGCGGCATTTTCTCCTGGCAGTCTTTCCTGTAGTGACCCACCTTCCCACACCGAAAACACGGACCCTTAGGAGGGCGGACGGGTGTATGGAGGGCGTTAATCGTGGCCCGATGGGTCTGGCCACGAAAGCTTCTCCCATCCCTGGAAGCTGCTCTCGCGTACTACATGAGCGCATCAGTTGACTCCGCCACGCGTACTGCTTCAAGGAACGATGTCGGGCGGCTTCGGCGGACCTCAAACTGTATCTCATATTTAAGGCCGTTGACGTATTTATCCAACCGCTCTGCTTCCGACATGTCATCGATCTGGTCGGCGAAGCCCATAAATGACGCCGTGTAGTCTTGGACAGAAGCCATCTGCGACCATGCACGCAGCTTCATGCGAGCTTGCTCCGAGGCGGATACGTGCTCGAAGCGATCTCGTAAGGCTGCGCCCCACTCCTTCCACGTGCGTATCTTGGTCACACCGAAGATCGGTTCTGCCACTTGATTAACCACTATAGAGGTCCCGTCTGCCGCATGTGTCACACCTGTCGGAGTCCCTGTTTCCAAGGTCCGGCGCCACCACTCAAGCGCCGCGCCCCGAAGAAGTGAAACCGCGTAATTGATACGCGTGGCATCGTCGTTAACGCTTGCTCCCGTGAAGAAGACCTCGACATCGAACAGCCACCCCTTCACTGTAGTTGTCTTGTCCGTAGGATTAAACGGGGGCGGGTTGACGGGCTTGATCTTGATCGTCGTAACTGCAACTGGCGCTGCTGCCGCTCGCTGCCTATCTTCTTCTTCGAAGTCACGTGTGAGAGCATCCAGTGGGTTGCTCATCGCCTGACAGTTGCCCTCGCCTTCGTCCACAGGCGACTCCTGACGCGCTTCACCTCGCGTCTAGTGTAGCTCGGCGTTTTCCTCTCGTAGTGTTGTCACTTCCGCCATTAATGTCTTCATGCTCTCCTGCATCTCTGCCACTTGCGCCATCATCCGGTTAACAGCCTCCTGATCCATGTGCCTAGCGCTACGTCTGGTGGGCAGTCGGGTCTCCGTGGCCTTCAGGCAAGTGAAAACACGAACTATCGGAGTCGGGCAGGATTGAATTAACAATCCTTGCAGCCAACCGTCGTGTAGTCACTAAACCAGCCACACCCTATGCCACCAAACTACCCTCGGAAAAGCGGGGTGAACTAGGAAAGTAGCTCTGATACCAGATGTTATGAGTTGTAAAAGAGAGTGCGCAGGTAAACGAATAACGAGACTGTGACTGAATCAACTGAGAATACAATGAATGCACAGACTAATGTAGGGCTAGCCTAGCTAGGAGGAAACCTCGGAAGACGAGGTTGGGTGCAAGTTTGGCGATGGAAATGCCGAAGGCGACGCGAGGAGCCTCGGCAGCGTTGAAATCGGCAGAACGTGCGAACTCCGAAAATCGGGTTGTACGCGAAGCAGTCAACCCCGATAAGGAATTCGGGAAAATTCCTTACAGATTCAATGGCATTCCATCCCCATTCTCAAGTTCGCGTGAGCGTCTCGGTGCAATACTTTCTTGATTTGAGGTTATAACACACTTATGTCCACTTCAATATTGCAACCAACTTGATCTATCCTAAACGATTCATGCAACCAACTTGATCTATCCTAAACGATTCATAGGTGTGTTCATGCAAAAGTTCCTATGGTATTCAGCATCAAGACCCCCCAAGAGTGCCATCGGCATGAAATACTGCGTAACCAGATAACACTGTAATCCCACGGATTTAATCTTAGGTGCACCATGGGTCCGCCAAGCCAATGTTTCAATGTAAACTAGTATGAGACAATAAAGAGGTGTGATTCTAGTGCAAAAAATCCTCTTCATCGAGCTGAAAAATATTACCACCCTCTGTTTCCCGCTCTGCCTCCCCCTGTATCTACAACTCGTACCGCCTCCACACCATCCCCTCCTCCCCCGCCTGCCCCGCCCCCCTCTGCTAGTTTTAGGACGTCTCAACACTGGAGTATTACCATCCTCTGCCTCCTCTCCCTCCCCCTCTACCCCCGTATCTGCCACTGCTGCTCCCTCCAAACCCTCCGCCCCTCCTCCCCCGTCTGCCCCGCCCGCCCCTGCCCCCTTCGTAGCTCCCCTCGGGCTCAGCTGCTGGTTGGAAGCTGAACAGTGATTGGCGCAGCTGCTCCGATGCTGACGTGGCAGTGGGAGGCGTGTGGTGCGCGTGTGGATGCGTGTGGGCTGCGTGTGCCTGGGGAGGGCGAGGAGGTGGGGGTTGACAGTGGGAGATGGAGGGAATGAGATAGAGTGGGGTGACAGTGGGAGATGGGGGGTGACAGTGGGAGATGGGGGGTGACAGTGGGAGATGGACGGGTGACAGTGATGGAGGGGTGACAGTGGGATGGAGGGGTGACAGCAGGAGATGGAGGGGTGACAGCAGGAGATGGAGGGGTGACAGCAGGAGATGGAGGGGTGACGGCAGGAGATGGAGGGGTGACGGCAGGAGATGGAGAGGCATGAGAGTGGGTAAACGAGCGAGTGGGTATGGAGCGGCCACAGGAAAAGGGACAAAGAAGAGCAGAGCAAAGGGTGTGCAACTTACAAAACCCCCCATGTCCTCCATATCCAACTGCGCCTGCAACTTCCTCGCAAGTTCCTCATCTGACATTACTTGTGCTGTACTGCTTACATCTACTCTCCCTCCACTCCCTCCCATTCCTCCCATCCCTCCCATTCCTCCCATCCCTCCCATTCCTCCCATCCCTCCCATTCCTCCCATCCCTCCCATTCCTCCCATCCCTCCCATTCCTCCCATCCCTCCCGTTCCTCCCGTCAACCCCCCCACCCCTCGTCCCCCTCCTTGCGTCCCCATAGCCTTCCTCGCCTCATATTCCTCTAGTGTCATCGTCCCCTCCTCCTCCTCCTCCTCCCGGCCCCTCCTCCCCCTCCCCCTTCCCCCACGCCCACCCCGCCTGCCCCTGCCTCGCCCCTGCTCCTCCCCCATCTTCTCCAGAAGCTTCCTGGAAGCGCTCCTGTCGTGGGGAGCAGCGTGTTTGAGAGCAGCAGCAGCCTCAACTCTCGCCCGCTCCACCGCCCTCTCCCTCGCTGCCTCTGCTGCTGCCCCTGCTTCCCCCGCCTCTGCCGACCCTCCCCCCCCTTCTCTCACTGCACTACCTGCTGCTCCCGTTGCTGCCGCTGCTGCAGGGGCAGAGCCGGCAGCACTGGCCTCACCCCCACGCCCTCCTGCCGGCCCCCCGCCTGCTGCTCCAGACTCATGTGTGCCGGCAGGTGTGGTGGCAGTCGTGACAGCTGGCGCTGCTTGCAGGCGCACGTCTGTGACCCCGCGGAAGGGAGGCGGGCCGGCAGAGGCACCAGGGAGAGAGGAGGCGGAGAGCGAGGAGGAGGAGGCGGGGGAGGCACGGGCGGAGCGGGCAGAGTGGCCAGAGGAGGAGGCGGCGGCGGAGGGGGTGAGGCCGGGGAGGAGGGAGTAGCGTCGCTGCATGTCCCACTCGTCGTAGAGGGGGGAGACACGGCCGCCCAGCACTTGCACAGAGTGAGGGTCCAGCAGGATGAAGCCGTGGCGGATGGTGGGGGCCGTGAGGAGCAGCTGAGGGGAAAGGTGGGAGGAAGGCAAAGAGGCAGGGAGAGGGAATGAGCGACACGTGCCCTTCGTTACTTGCTTTTCTGGAGAAAAAAGAGCGCTGAATTTTTTGACTGTAGCTCCACCGGTAGCCGAAATGCGCGGTTGCTGTCTCTGCATGCACACTGCCACTAGCGCGACCAATGAAAACTGAGTCCTGCTCGAAAGGCGTTGCATGCATGCATGGGGCTTGTCCAACGAAACCACCTTGGCCCCGAGCAAGAGCGGCCGGCACATGAGGACAAAAGAATCTGTCAAGTCAAAGTGATGCAGGGAGCGTTGGTGTTGAGTTGAGACAAAGTACCTTGGTGCCTGGAGCAAGAGCAGCGGGCACGTGCGGGCAGGGGTGCATCTCCACAGCACTCGCATTCCTCTTGCCGTCCGTCACCCGAACGCGCAGCAGCCTTCGCCCCCCACTGCCACCCACAGCACCTCGCCCTCCCAGCCCATCCACACCAACAGAAGCAGTAGCAGGACAGGGAGCAGCGGGGGCGGGCGGATTGTTGTCGTCCTCCCACTGGTCGTCCTCGTCAGCAGCAGCGGCGGCTGACTCAGCGTCCTCCCCGCCTTTGGGCTCGCAAACATTTCCGGCTGACACTACCTGGCGGGGAGAGAGGGGGGCGCGGGCAGCAGGGGGAGCGCAGGGAGTGCAGAGCAAGGTGAGTCAGCGTCCTCCCCGCCCCTGGGCTCGCACACGTTCACGGCTGAGACCACCTGGCGGGGCGCAAGGAGGGCGCAAGGGGGGCGCGGAGAGCGAGGGGGGAGCACGGGGAGTGAAGGGGGGCGTAGGGGAACAAAGAAAGCGCGGGGAGCAAGGGGAGTGCGAAGAGAGGGGTGCGGAAGGCAAGGGCTACGGACTCACCTGCACGACGAGCCTCCCCGACAGGCGGCGGTACTCGGCGCGGTTCACGTCGTCCGGCAAGCACGCCTCGCCGAACCGCCGGAGGTCCAGGTCTAGCGCCGCCGCGCGCACCTGCTGCGCCGACATCGGCGCGCTCTGCGGCGCGCCAAGTGGCTGCCCGGCCGAGGACGCGGAAGCGGCGGAGGCGGGGGCTTGCGGATCCGGTGCGCCGCCGTCCGCGGAGGGGGGTTTCGCGGCGAGCAGTGCGAGCAGCGCGTGCGGGGAGACGTGCCAGCCTTCGCTCTCCAGGGCGGCCAGCGCCGCGGGCGACACCAATGGCGGTGCCGCCATGCTGCCGGGCAGTGCGCGCGCCGCGCGTGACGATTACTGCTTGGCGCGGTCGAGCAGCGCTGGGTTTAGTGTTCCGCGGGCCCAGCGCAAAGAATACGGTGGCGGTTCACATTCGTCACGCCCTACTGACGTTCCGGAGGAGCAGCGATCGTGGAATAATAACGCGTGATTACTATTCTAGGTGCACGAGCGATGTGGCTTCGACATGGGCGTCGGTAAACAATTTACGACGTGTTGCAATCCAGCTCGATTGGATTGGGTCGGGTCAGCCTTGACAGAACCCATTGCACCCAATCGGGTTGGGTCGGGTCGCGTGAATCCATGAACCTGAGCCGCAACACGTAGTTGGAGGGTGGATGTCTGGTTGTGTAGATCTTTAAACCGTACTATAACTAGGCTTTTCATGCTGGAAACCTACAGAACCGACGATAACGCTGTCTAATGCCAACCTGATGCTAATCGGTTGTTAGGACGGATGAATGAGCAGTTTTACGGGGGATGTGTTTGTTGGCTTTGGAAGTCAGGGCAGGTCAGGGGTTGATGCGATCGAAATTTCGTAAAGCACAACGAGAGTTCCTGCTTCCCCAAATGAGTTTCGTTCAATGGTTTCTTTCAGGTAACCAGGAAACCTTACAGGGGAGTCATCGTGGGTCGCAAACAAACAGCTCGAAGTGAACACGTCCTTTGCGGAGCAGCCTCAACATCCCCTCCTGTTGATGTGATTTCATCAACGTAAAGCTTCTACGATTTTAGAGTGGATGCAGCGGAAGTTCGTGGAGCGAGGCGTAGGGTTACTTCCGCAATGGTAAGACATTTCGGGACTCTAACGCGGCAGGTTCCAATCCAAGCCTATCGACTGCCTTTCTCGGTCCCCTCCCGCTACTGCCGTCCCGCTTTCCGTAATCTCGGTTTCTTCACGCCCATCCTCCACTTGCCGCATACGATTTCCCCCGTTTCGAGCCGACTTAATACCCGCTTTCCCCCGCTACCTGCCGTCACGCTATTCCTAACCATAGCTGTCGCTGTCGCGCTCTCGTCTCCCGCTCCCATTCCTCCTTGCAGCTCCACCCCTCTTCTCCCGCTTCCAATCCCCTCTCCTGCCCTACCCTTTGTCTCTCGCTCTCATCCCCCTCTGACTCCTCGCCCTTCGTCTCCCATTCCCAAATCCCCCATGTAACTTCACCCGTCATTTCCGGCCTTATGGCCTTGCCTTCCCCCTACTCTCCTCCACCTCTCCCCCGCCTTTCGCCCGCTTTCCTCATTCCCCCCCGCCTCTTTCCCGCCCCGCCTCTCTCCCCCCCGCCTCTCTCCCCCCCGCCTCTGTCCCCCCAGCCCTCATCCTTCAACAACGCCCAACCAGGACAAGACAGCCGGGCGCTCACCTTTTCCCCACCATTCCCCCAATCGCCCTTCCCCCACCTCCTCCCCCCCAGTCCTCATCCCTCAACAGGTCATCAGGCCAATCTGTGCACAACCGGGGGAAGACAGCTGCAGAAGACCTACCCTTTTCCCACCTTTCCCCACCTTTCCCCAGCTTTCCCCCCCATTTCCCCCTTTCCCTCCCCACCTCTCCCCCCCACCCCAGTCCTCGTCCTTCAACAGGTCGCCAGGCCAGTCCGTGCACAACCGGGGGAAGACAGCAGGGTCAGGCGGAGCAAGCGGAGGGGTTGCTGCTGCTGCTGCTGCTCCTGAAGCATGGTTGCCCGAGAGTGCAGTTTCCAGTGGTGCCCCGACCGCCTCTCCTGCAAGTGCTGGAGTTCCCAGGGGTGCTGCTACTGCTGAAGGCAACGGGCGCTCTGGTGTTGGGAGCGGTGATATTGGGAGTTGTGCAGGGGTGGGGTTAGAGGGAAGACGAGAGGTGACAGACCGAGGGGGGTTGAGAGGCCAAGACTCGCTGCCACTGCTTCCCAAGCGCCTTCACTTTGACCAGCTGTCAGCCCCAACCCCAACCCCAACCCCAACCCCAACCCCAACCCCAACCCCGGGCTTGGGCTTGGGCTTGGGCTCATTCCCGGCCCCAGCAGTTCCAGTTCCAGGCGGTGCCTCGAGCCCAGTCGTTTTGCACCATCTTCACGGCCCAGAGCTGCAACAGCAACCGCCGTTCCGCCACCAGCACCAGCAGCAATTGCAGCAGCAGCAGCACCCATCACAGCAGAAGCAGCAGCCAGGGACGCAGCAGCAGCAACGGCAGCAGGCAGGGCAGCAGCAACGGGCAGAGTATCGGGACGTGGAGAGCACAGATGGGGCGAGCTATGACGTGCTGTGCTGGGCGTGCGGCCTCTGCCTCTCCCTCCCCTCCTTCTCCCCCAACTTCAAATGCGGCTACTGTGGCGCCCTCACGCTCCATCTCCACTCCTCCCCCTCCCCCTCCGCTTCCTCCACTGCTGCTCCTTCCTCCTCCTCCTCCCCTGCATCTAAGTCTGCTACAGAGTCGGAGAAGCCGTTGAGGAGGAGGAGGTGCAGAGCGTGTATCGCAGCATGGGACATGCTGGTGCTGACGGTGGTCATTCTTCTCATCACGTTCATTATTGGTGAGCACAAAAAGGTGTGGGTGGGTGCTGTTGCCTTTTTATATATATATATATATATATATATATATATATATATATTATATTGTTTCATATGTCCACCACTGTTTCCATCGCCTCTCCTATCAACCCTTTATCATATGCATCCACCCTCTCCTATCCATTCTCCCTCTCCCCGTCAGCTCCTCCCTTCCCCTCGTCTCCAATTCCCTCATCTCCTCTCTCTCCGCCCTGCCTTAGCACTTGCTGGCAATCTCACCCCCTGCCTCCCCATCGTCATTCACTCTCCTCCACCCACTGACAGCTGTAACATCTCCTCACCCCCCGTCATTCCTTCCGATCTGCTCCTTTCCCCTCTTCTTCTCTCCTTCCATCCCATGTTGGAGTGACTTTTGAGAATTCTCAAAAGTCACTCCAACATACCTTTCCCCTCTTCCTCTCTCCTTCCATCCCTGCCCTTCTGTCACCACTACCCTGCCCTTCTCCTCCCCTCCCTCCCGTCTGCAGTTGGTGGCATCCTCACCACGTTCCTCACCACGTTCCTCACCACGTTCCTCACCACGTTCCTCACCACGTTCCTCACCACGTTCCTCACCACGTTCCTCACCACGTTCCTCACCACGCTCCCCTCTGTTTTTGGTTCGCTTCAACGACAGACAGATTCCTCATCACCTATCCCATCCACCTTCTATCTTTTGCCTCTTCTCACTCTTCTTGTCTTCTCTCCCCTCCCTCCCGTATCCAGTTGGCGGCATCCTCACCACCTTCCCCGTCATCTGTCCCCTCCACCCTCCCTTCTCCCACCGCTACCCCCCTCCTCCTCGTCTCCTGCCCGTGTCACTCCCCTTCCTCCTGCACTCCCTCATCACGCTCCTCCTCTCCCTTCAAACTGTCTTCAACTTCCTCTGCTCCGCTTTCTTCCCGGCCGGCCCAGTCACTCGTGTTGCTTTCGGCTCTGCAGACATGCCAACTGTATCAGCAGGTACGTCTGAACAAGGGTACCACCACTAAGGTACTGCTCTCCGGTTATGAGCTTCCCAAGTCCTTACTGCCTGTATCATAACAGAAATTGAACTGTGATGCCTTTTATTTAGCCTCCAGATGTGCATTGACTTCTCTCAAGTGATGTTCCCATGATCCCATCACGTGTCACAACATCGCACATCCCAATTAATACAACACATCACATCACACCTACAACAGTGCACATCCCACATAACAAATCCCTCATCACATGCCCTTTTTTCCATGCATTTCCTTGCCCACACCAACCGTGCCTCTCTTTCACATGCTTTACCTTTTCCCATGTCTTCCCACACCCATGTCTTCCCACACCCATGTCTTCCCACACCCATGTCTTCCCACACCCATGCATGCATGGCTGGGTGGGTGGGTTCCCCTTTGCCTCTCAGGTTCGTTTGACGGCTGGCAGTTGTGCCGCCGCTGCGACCCGCCCCGAGCCAAGCCTCCCGGTGCGCACCACTGCAGCAGCTGCGGCACGTGCGTGATGGACATGGACCATCACTGCCCCTTCGTGAGTACCATGTGCCTCCTGAGGTGCCTGCCTCCTGAGGTGCCTGCCTCCTGAGGTGCCTGCCTCCTGAGGTGCCTGCCTCCTGAGGTGCCTGCCTCCTGAGGTGCCTGCCTCCTGAGGTGCCTGCCTCCTGAGGTGCCTTCCTCCTGAGGTGCCTGCCTCCCTAGGATGGTAGTGGTGAACCATACATTGATTGACAATGCCATCACCACTGCAGCTGCTGCGGCACGTGCGTGATGGACATGGACCACCACTGCCCCTTCGTGAGTACCTGCGTGCCTTGCTATGTAGCTTGTGACTCAAACACCATTGTCAGCATCACCACCAGCTTCCGCATCGGCATCATCATCGGCATCATCATCGGCATCATCATTCGCATCAGCAACACCATCGTCATCAGCACCTCTGCAGCAGCTGTGGCACGTGCATTCTGAGCATGGACCGTCACTGCCCATTTGTGAGTTCCTGCGTGTGTTTGTTCACTCACTCAAACATCGTCTGTGCCTCTCTTCTATCCTTCGCATCTCTCCCTCTCGTCTTCCCCCCTCCCCCTTCCCCCCCCACTCTCCCATTCCCACCACTCCAGATCGGCAACTGTGTGGGTCGGGCCAATCAGAGGCACTTCCTGCTCTTCCTCCTCTCCACCATCATCAGCTGCACCTATGTCGCCCTAATGACTGCAACCACACTCTATCTCCTCCTCCCCGCACTCGACGTCACCCCTCACATGCCCCACACGCCCCCTCACGACCTCACCTCTTTCGTCTCCACCGCCACAAAAGCTTTTGCCGCTGCCCTTTGGGCTGCCCGGAAGCAACTCCCGATCCGGGCGTTCATCGCGTTTTACCTCTTTATAGTCGCACTTGGCACAGGGATTTCTGTCTCGCTGTTACTGTACCAGCAGCTGGACTTCATTCTATCTGGAGAAGGGGGTTATGTAGATGCATTAAAGGCGAAGAAAGGAGCAGGGAATAACAAGGTGATGTGGGATGGGCCAAAAAGGATAGTGCCGGCGAGAGTAATGGATTCAGGCAGGAGAGATGGGACTAGTTGGCCTTGTGGAGATGGGGTTTGGTTGAGTTTGTTCAATCGCTCCGGTTCGGAGGTGTCTAGAGCTCTGAAGGGGGTGTTTGGATCTGGCAATCCGTGGTTCTGGTGCTGTCCTCGTTTAAAGGCCCCTAGAGGGTCGTTAGAAGCAACTTACAACGGGGTTAAGGACCTCTGATCTACCTACGTACCGTACTTTATTTTCCACTGATTTATTTGACATGGGCAGCAAACGGAAAGAATTATCAATTCAAAAGCGAACAGACAGTAAGTAGCCCGAGGTGAACAACGAGGTTAGTAAAAAGAAATTTAGGCCCTAATAACTTATGTGTTGAAGAGAACGCGCAAACAGTCAGTAAAAAAGTGTGCTTTATCGCGTTTCGTAACAAGCGAACAATGGTGTTCGTGTAGTCCGTCAAACCTGTGGGATCTTGTTCACCATACCGAACATTGACTTACGTTAGGTCGTTTCCGAACGTAAGCTTTCCTGGTTGACTTTGGTGTGGGGTTCGAGACCGTACACACGGAGCCTTGATATCCTACAATAGTTTCTGTTTACCAGAAACATAGACCAGTCAGAATATGCAAGATGCATCCGCCATGGCAACGTCGCCTAGAGTCGTCGTTCTTCTCATCGTATTCATACTGCCCGTCGCCTCACCGTCCTCGGCTGTCGTAACGCGGCTTAACCCTTCTCAAGGTCGGTCGCGGCTGCCTCTAGTGCACGTCACAAATCTATACCCGTACATATGCCGCGCGCCGCCTACCCGCCGGTAGGGTTTCAGACCTTCAAAATTTGCGCGGCACACCAGCCTTCACGGCCTCTCGCCTCTTTCTCAATGAGATGCGCGGGTTACGCCGCCGCTGCGTCTCTCCAGCTTCCGCAGAAGGCGTCCCGCTCGTCCCGTGGCGTCACGCATTTCAAATGAAAAGTTTTCACCCTGGCCTCCACGCAATCCTAGGAAGCAAGGGGAAGCATACGGTCTAAACAAGCTGTGCTTTTGGGATAGGAAGCCCGCGGAGAGAAACACGTCGCTGCCACACTCCCAAACTGTAACACCTCGCTACCCACTGTTAGGGTTGTTCGCCACTGCCATAGTGCCTACCGGCCTACGCGCTTGACCTGGGGACGGTACACTAGGAACGGTGGGAAATGTCGACCTCATGTGCTAAACGGTGGGGCTGGAAACTAAGGAGCCAAGGAGGAAAACGCGAGGAAAGCAAGGGAAAACGGAATGGTGGAAGAATAGGGTTTGGGAAATGTAGAGAAGACATTTCCGAATCCTAAAATGTCCAACCGCAACCGAACAGTGTTCGGTGCGGATGAGACAACTAGGTTTCGGTTCCGGCGTGCGACTCGAGCTGAAACGCGGTTGACGCGTTACGCGAGGCGCACACCACAGTTTGTTTGTGGTGAATGCTTTCTAATCGTGAACTTCCCCTCGCTACCCTCTCCGCCTGTGCATCCATCGTCATCCACTGCCGCCCTCTCCTCCCAGCCACCTCCTTTCCTCCTCCGTGCCTTCTCTTCTCCGTTTATCCTCCCTCTTTTTGCCTCCTAATCCTGCTCTCCCAACTTGGGAGGATGATTCCCCCTGTTCCTCCCAATCCTGCTCCCCCTTGCTACTCCCAACCCTGCTCCCCCCTGCTACTCCCAACCCTGCTCCCCCCTGCGACTCCCAACCCTGCTTCCCCTTGCTCCTTCCAATCCACCCCCTTCTCCTCCCTCCGCTTCTGTTCCCCGCAGCGGCGGTGCTGGCGGAGTGTCAGGGGCAGTGGCAGGCGCAGCTGCGCGGGTGGAGCAAGGGGGGGGACTGCGCGCAGGTGGAGGGCGTGCGCTGCAATGCGGCTGGCTTCATCGTCTCACTGTGCGCCCTGCACGCCTTCACCTCTCCCCTCCCCTGCTCTTCCCTGGTCTCCCTCTCCCCCACTCCCCCCCACTCTCCCTGACCCCCTCTCCATTCCCTTTCCTCCTCTTTTTTCAATGGATCTTCTGGTTAGATTCATGATCTAAAGCTGGATGGTCTGCTGTGTGGGCATCCAGGGGGAAGTGACTGTGGAAAGCCATGAACTTGCTGGACCATGCCTGCTGGACCATCCCTGCTGGACCATCCCTGCTGGACCATGCCTGCTGGACCATCCCTGCTGGACCATGCCTGCTGGACCATGCTTGTAGGCTGGACGGCCATGCATACATTGCAAGCTGGTTATCACGTCATACTGCCATACTGCACGCATGCCTTGAGCCAATGCACCCATCCAGCCAGCACAGCACAGTTCCTGGATCCCACATTTAAGGCACCTCATTAGAGCACAGCACGGTGCTTACCCCCTCCTCCTTCCCCCCCCCCCCCCCCCCCCCACCTCCTCCACCCCCCTCCCCCTGCAGCACCAAGCCCCCCATGCCCCGCCCCCTCATGCCCCCAGTCCGATGCCCTCATGCTCCTCGTGCATTCATGCCCCCATGCCCCCACCCCATGCCCCCCCATTCCCCCATGGCCCCCCATTCCCCCATGCCCCCCCATTCCCCCATGCCCCCCCATTCCCCCATGCCCTCCTGTAGGAAGGTGACTGGCAAGCAATTGGAGGGACCCATTCCAGATGCCATTGGGAACCTCACCGCACTCACTCAACTGTATGACCCAGCATGTTATGCGAGGCTATGCTATGCGAACGCATTTGAGATCATGAATGACACGCAAGCGCATGCCTTGATAGTCCATGCAATGCGGGGCCATGCCATGTAGTTCATGCCATGTAATGCCAATGCCATGCCATGCCATGTGATGCCATGCCATGCCATGTGATGCCATGCCATGCCATGTAGTGCCATGACATGCCATGTAATGCCATGCTATGTAATGCCATGCCATGCCATGCCATGTAATGCCATGACATGCCATGTAGTGCCATGCTATGTAATGCCATGCCATGTAATGCCACGCCATGTAATGCCATGCCATGTATCGCCATGCCATGTAATGCCATGTTTTGTGAAACCACGCTCCTGTGCGTGTGGGGCGATGCATCAAAGCATGCAACTATGAGTTTCATGCACCCACCCATGCCTGGTCTGACTCCACTCGGCCATATTCAACCCCTTCTGATTCCCCTTTTGCCTCACACGCCTGCCATACAACCTCAATGCCAACCGTTCCTATGCCATGCATGCGAGCCTCCCGGGTTCTTGGCCCTCCTCCTGTCTCAGAACAGCACTCGTTTGCCTCCCTACCCGCCCAACATACAACACCCCTTCTTCATCCAGGTACCTCTCAAGCACCAAGCTCACCGGCTCCCTGCCAGCCACCATGTCTCGCCTCACCTGCTTACAAGAAATGTGAGTAGCACTTAGGCCATGCTACAGCCAAATTCCCTGAGGCTGCGGTGAGTTTCAACTGAGGCAGCCGTGAGCTTCAACTGAGACAGCGGTGAGTCTCGACTGAGGCAACGGTGAGTTTCAACTGAGACAGCGGTGAGTTTCAACCGAGGCAGCGGTGAGTTTCAACTGAGGCGGAGGTTCCAGCCATCATCTCTCGACTCACCGCTGCCTCACCTCACTCACCATGCTACAGGCAATTCCACTGAGGGCAGCGGTGAGCTTCAAGTTCTTTACAAGGTCATGGTAATCACGCATGGTGATGGTAGGATGGAAAGTGGAGGTTCGCTTTTGAGTCTACTCAAACGTCACCTCGAATTAAAAGCCACCTAACTGCATAAATGGTACCTCTTAAGTTTCTAAATCATGGACACACTCATGATGATGATAGGATGAATGTGTCTTGAGTTGATTCAATTTGCACCTGTTGTGAATAAACTTAATTCGCACAAGTTTTGAGTAGACTCAGTTCACACCTAATTAGTAGACTCGATTCACACTTGTCTTTAATAAACTCATTAAACACCAGTTCTGAGAAATTACACTGAAGTCACATTATCGCACCTGTTTTTAGTAGACTCAATTCACCCTTGTTTTGCGTTGAGGTGTGTGTGACTACATGAAGGGTTGCGGCGAGTTTCAACTTCCCTACACGGTCATGGTACATAGTCATAGTCCAACAACTCACTGCTGGAGCTCTGGCTCTGGCTGCTGTGCTACCATGCCATGCGACCCCTTGACATGACATGACATGACATGACATGACATAACAATGCATCACACAACATAATACGACATGACATGACATTGCATGACATGATGTTTCTCCCTGTCCACCCCCCCTTTCCCCATCTGACTGGCATGGCAGAACTCTCAGTTTCAACACTTTGTCAGGCTCCATCCCAGAAGGCATTGCTGACCTGGCTGCCCTCTCACTCCTGTAAGCTTCCATATCTCACCTCATCCATCGACCATGCCATGTCATACGTACCACATGCGATGCGATAAGCCACATACCTCCCAAAAAATTGCCCCCCCCCCCCCAAAAAAAAAAAAAACAAACAAACAAGCAAACAAACAAAACAAAACAAAAACTGCAGGACGTTTTGGTGACGCCGGAAAAACCAACTTGTCTTTTTTCACCTCCCAAACAAAACCAACTCCCTCACCACCACATCCTCCCCCTCTCCTCACTCAACTGAATCCCAAAGTTTGTTTCCTGCCTGTGTTTTTCTTTGCTCACCAACCCGCCTCACCCGAGCGACAAACCTGGTGAGCAGTGAATCTGTTGACCCACCAACATGCACTGCTCTAAATAACCTCGTGTATGCACCTACCTTGTTGCACAGAACGGCACGCATTTGGCATGGAGGAGGAGACGTACCTAGTCGCTGCGTTGCTTGTGCACTGCTGAATATAACCTCGTGTATGTTAGAAATCAATAAGTTGACTTGGGTAATGAGCCAAGAGGCTCTATAAAACAAGCAATGAGCAAGAGATGAGTGCAAGAGAAGCTAAATTTATTGGCCTCTAAGTTGGCCAATGGGTAAGTTGGCTTGTAGCCCAAGCAGCCTCAATTATGAGTTGATTGTGATTGGTTGGGCTAAGGACCAATAGCTGGGAAGTGTCAACCAAGGACCAAGGACCAAATCCAATCTTGACCAACCACAAGTTGTGGTTGGGGGGTACACCCATCAACCCCCCAATACAACAAATGACTACACGTATAAAATATGAGATTCCAACAGTGTATGCACCTTGTTTTTCCCAGAAAGGTACGCATTTGGCATGGAGGAGGAGACGTACCTAGTAGGAGGAGACTTACCTAGTCGCTGCGTTGCTTGTGCACTGCTCTAAATATCCTCGTGTATGCACCTTGTTGTGCCCAAAATGGCATGCATTTGGTATATTGGAGGAGACGTACCTAGTGGATGTGTTGCTTGCGCACTGCTCCCTATAACCTTGTGTCCACGCCACTTGCTCCCCATACGCCCCTTCTCTTGCGGTGCCCGGATAGATCTCTTCACAAGAACAAAATTACCGGCGCAATGCCGTCATCCATCGTCCGCCTCACCAATCTCACCTTGTTGTAAGAACAGTTCTCCATCTCTGCCAATCTTCTTTCTGTATGTGATGCCTTTTGAGAGCTTTAACTTAGGGAAGCCATTGCCCTGCCTCTACCCTACCCACCCCCTCCTGCATCATGACTCTTGTAGAACCTCATTATTGACCCTTACTGAAGTCCAAGTGAGCTTGATGCGGTGAGGAGCGTAAGGAACATAATGAGCATAGTAAGCGAACCTGATGGGATGGGCGTCCCTAGTAATAGCCAGCCGTCAGTGTCAATGCACAATTGTGGAAAGCACGAGATGAGAGTGATGATAGCAGGAAAGAGAAAGGCATTTGTCTTGCTCATGTCCATGACAATTCCTGCTCATGACAAGTCCTGCTCATGATAAGTGCTGCTCATGATAAGTGCTGCTCATGACAAGTGCTGCTCATGACAAGTGCTGCTCATGACAAGTGCTGCTCATGATAAGTGCTGCTCATGACAAGTGCTGCTCATGACAAGTGCTGCTCATGACAAGTGCTGCTCATGACAAGTGCTGCTCATGACAAGTGCTGCTCATGACAAGTGCTGCTCATGACAAGTGCTGCTCATGACAAGTGCTGCTCATGACAAGTGCTGCTCATGACAAGTGCTGCTCATGACAAGTGCTGCTCATGACAAGTGCTGCTCATGACAAGTGCTGCTCATGACAAGTGCTGCTCATGACAAGTGCTGCTCATGACAAGTGCTGCTCATGACAAGTGCTGCTCATGACAAGTGCTGCTCATGACAAGTGCTGCTCATGACAAGTGCTGCTCATGACAAGTGCTGCTCATGACAAGTGCTGCTCATGACAAGTGCTGCTCATGACAAGTGCTGCTCATGACAAGTGCTGCTCATGACAAGTGCTGCTCATGACAAGTGCTGCTCATGACAAGTGCTGCTCATGACAAGTGCTGCTCATGACAAGTGAGCCCATGCTGCAATGGATGGTCTGTCCCATGACAAGCTCTGTTGCTTGTGCCTTTTCGCCTGCATCAACTGCTTCTCGTGGGCCCCACGTTGCGCCTAACCAGGAATGTTGGAACCAACAGGCTAGTGGGCACAATTCCTTCGGCCATATTCCAGCTTACGAAGCTCGCCTTCTTGTGAGTGTCTTCACCTCATGGCTGCCATTGTGCAGATCTGTGTTTGTGTGTGCTTTCTTCAACGACATTCAAGTAATGTTACTCTGGGGCTCAGTACCCTGGGGTGCGGGCTGGGTGCCTTCTTCTAAGGTGCCTCACAAGTCATGTTACTCTGGGGTTCAGGCACCAAAATCATCACGGTCCCCTGGGGGGGATAAGGTGAGATGGGTGGGTCAGTCCGTGAGGTGCACAGAGTGGGTTGCTGGTTTGACGAAAGCGACCGGCAATTGTACTGCCCGACCGACCGACCCATCTGAAATCTGTCGAAATTCGTGTGCCCAAGCCAAGTGCAAGCCTGACTCCCACCCAAATTGACTTTCCTACACCATGCTTCATTTTTTTTTTTTTAATGACCCACCCGTGCTGTGCATGTTGTGTGCGGCGCACATGGCAGGGACCTTCGATGGAATTGGTTCTCTGGCTCCATCCCAGCAGCAATTTCTCGCCTCTCTCTCCTCTCCTACCTGTGAGGGCGTTCCTCCCTGCACAGCATGTAAGGACAGGGACAAGCCATTGCTAGACCCTTGCTGCTTACGTGCAGTGCCCCAGCACACTGTCTCTGTCACTTAACCATGTTTCGTGGGGCAGTGAGAGTCGGATGTCACATTTCACATTGTTGTGGAAGCAAGAATGTCCCAGTGGGTACCTTTGGTCTTAGTGGTCGCGGGTTCAACTCTCATCGGCAGCACCTTCTCTTCTCATTATGCCGAACATGACACTCCCACACTCCACCACACTCACCCACAGTGAAGTGTGGTCACAGTTGGCATTGCCATCTGTCCACCCATCCCATACTCACCTTGTTGGCTCCTATGGTGTGCCACATGCTGCCATGTAGGCTGTTGTTCCAGCCTGGCCCACATGTGCAACATGTGGCCTCAATTGCTAGCTTGGCAAGGTTGGCTAGCCCTGCCCTCAGCTTTGAGGTGCTGCAGCTAGCCTCAAGAGTTCAGCCACATAAATGTGGCTTCCCACTTCTCTAGAACTCATCCTTGGAAAGGACATTGCTCTAGCCTTTCAGGCTTGTACCATCTTCCTACTAAGGATATATTGTTCTTCTCTCATTGTGCCTCAAGTTCACCGATCCTCATTCTACACACATATCACCTTGGTATCAGCTTGGTATCAGTAGTAAAGGTAGCAGCTTGCACCGGGGAGAGCCACCTCCCTGTCGAGCCAAGCCGCGCACGAGCCGAGTTTTTCCGCCGAGCTGAGTTTTTCCGCCGAGCCAAAGCGCGTTTTGAGTGTGTTGTGTGGCTCTCATAACAACTGGGCTTGGCGTGAGTTGAGTTGAGATGGGCCTGTCCTTGTCCCCTTGGCACTTATTCCGTGTGTCAACTCAGCTCAGAGTCCCTTGGCCCGAGTTCAGACGGGCCTGTGAGTGTTTTTTTGAAAATTCTAAAGAATCACTCGCATGGGCCTGTCCTTGTCACTTGGCAATGATTCCGTCCGTGACTCAAGTCTTTGAAGAAGTGTTTTGAGACGTCTCAAGTGACTCAAGTCAGTTCAGTTCAGAGTCCCTCCCTTGGCCTGAGTGCACACGGGCCTGTTTTTGTCCCCTTCGCATTCGCAATCTGTTTCTTGAGTTGACTCAGAAGTCACTTGGCTTGCGTCGAGCCGAGCTGTGTCTGTCTTTGTCAGCCTCGCAGGCTCAGGTTTCCTCTTCGCATTCGCTTCGCGCATGGCTCGCTGAGTTGGTTCAGAAGTTACTGATGCCTGAAAGTTGTGAGAGCGCCAGTTGAAGGGGGCATTGGACTGGACAGAGGTTGATGGATCTTGCATTCTTGCCAAGACGGCAATGCTGCTCTCTGGACTGCTCTCACAGGACTGCGTTAGAGTTAGCCCTCAATATCAACATTTGTACTTGAACCTTTAAAATCCTAGTTAAGTGTAGTTTGTAGTTTGTGTGGGTTGGGTGTACACCCACATCCCAACCTCAACCGAATGTGATCAACCGTAATATCCAACCAACCCTTGGAGATTTCAGCCGATCTCATTGGAATAAAATGCCCCCAATTCCCTTCCCATCCATCCCTTTCTCATTTCCGATGTACTTAAGAGTTAAGAACCATGAGCTCATTACCTAATGCATCAATTTAAGCGCAAGCTCTTACAGACTGCTCTCACTGGATTCCTTATTAAGGAGCCTCAAAGAATTTTCTATAGCGGCGATCGTGTTCTTGCTAGACTGGATCCAAACATCCTGAGTGGGTGCTGAACTAGTGCGGCAGTTTTACTGGGGGCAGGAAGAGCGGGGCAAGTGTGTGATGGTTGCTTGAGATTGCAGCCAGTGCAGATGATTCTTGAGATGCTGGCCTCAACAAGCCGCTTTAGTAGGGGCTGATGGTGTGCTCCCAGGTGTGCCTAACTGGGCTGCTTCACATGCCGGTGAAGTTAGTGCCAGATCATATCATATCATATCATATCATGTCATGTCATGTCATGTCATGTCATGTCATGTCATATCACATCACATCACATCACATCACATCACATCACATCACATCACATCACATCACATCACATCACATCACATCACATCACATCACATCACATCACATCACATCACATCACATCACATCACATCACATCATATCATATCAGATCAGATCAGATCAGATCAGATCAGATCAGATCAGATCAGATCAGATAATATCGTATCGTATCGTATCGTATCGTATCATAACTTATCATATCATATCATTTCATGTCATATCATCGCACACAGCCCGAATAGAATGGGCAGAACAGAAGCAAAGGGGTCAAGGGTAATAGGGGCAGTGCAGCCAGGAGACACACCCTTCGTCAGTAACCGCGTGGCAGCAAAGGAGCTTCGTCACTTGTGCCTTGTGCCTTGCTCCCAGTATGACCCTTGTTTGTTGTGCCTTGCTCTTGCTCCCATTGTGCTCCTTGTTTAACATGCCTTGCTCCCCATATGCCCCATGCTCTGCCTGGATAGGTCTCTTGGCGGTAACATGCTCACTGGCGCAATCCCTTCATCGATCTTCCATCTCACCAATCTTGCCTTGTTGTGCGTTTAATCTTCCAGCCCAGCATTCTTGTTCCTGCTCTCGTGTGTGTGTGTGTACATTTAGGGACATCCGAATGAAAACACTGTAACCATTGCGTTTGAGTTGACTCAATACACTCCTGAGTGTGTGGTTTACATCTAGAGACATGTGAACCGACTCGCAGTACCCTCCCTTAGCCTAGGGATGAGCAAAATCCCACCGAACAGGCATTTTTTTTTGCCGAAATCGTTCGAGGCGAACATTTTCGGTGTTCGGCCGAACATGTTCGCCGTTCGCCACTGAATTTTGGCTAAGGAAATTCGAGCACGAACGCGTTCGTGTTCGAATTGGGTGCCCCGCGAACACAAAAGTGTTCACGTCAAAATTGGCCGCGACCAATTTTAGGTCGCGGCCGTTTTGAGTTTGAGCTCATTTCGTGAGCTCAAACTCAAAACGCCTTTAGCGCTTAGCCCTCTCTCACACAACAGCCCTAGCCTTGCGGTTTTAATAGCCATGGCATCTACATGAAAATATGTGTTCGCCGCAACCTCATTTCCTGGAAGCGGCATCGCCTGGCCTCTCAGAGGACGCGAGCTGTCATGATTCTCAGATCATGGTACAGTTCACACCCTGGACAGAGGATAGGCGAGGGCCGCCGTGCAAAGGGCGTCGCACCGCCAGAGTTCGCCATTGAAGGCGAGGGGGAGGAGGAGGACGATGAGGAGGAGGAGGAGGAGGGTGAGGAGGAGGGGGGGGAGGAGCAGGAGGGGGTGGGTGCTGGCGACACCGAGCATGCTGTTGTTGGTAGTAGCAGTGGAGTTCAGGCGTAGGACTTTATTTTACATAGACTTTTATTTTATATTCACAGAACATGAGGGTGCCGTATGCTTGCGTGCGTTGCATGAACACAGAGACACCCTCCACACCCCTATCTATCTACCCGACCCTCCAAATCCCCTCTCTGACCACTGTGACTATAACGAATCTCCCCCAGGGCGAACTCGAACATGTTCGAAGCGAACATGTTCGAGTTCGCCCTCAGAAACAAATCGTTCGCCCCCTGGGGCGAACGGCAAACACCTGCTGTAGGGCAAATAGTTCGCCGAACCGAACACTGTTCGGTTCGGGAAATGGATATGTTCGAGGGGGGGCGAACCCGAACATGTTCGAGTTCGCCCTCTGCTCATCCCTACCTTAGCCCACGCCTCACCCCCTCCTCCGTTTTCATCTCCTGACTAGCCCCCCTTTTCTGTTCGCGCATTTTCACCATAGAGGGACAAGTCAGTTTTTGAGAATTCTCAAAAACCACAGCGTACGGTGGCTCGTCGCTTGGTGGGTCCCGGGGTGGACTCTCTCATAACAGTCGCCTAGGAACGCGGCGCTGGCTTGCTTCACCATAGAGGGACGAGTCACGGGCGTACAATGGCTCGTTGCTTGGTGGGCCATCTGGACCCTGGTGACATGTTCGCCGCTGGCGAACACGAACATGTTCATGCCTACCCCTGGTGGGCTCTCTCATAACGAGCGAGTCAGTCGCCTAGGAGCACAGCCCTGGCTTACTTCACCAGCCAGCCGTGATTGAGTCTGTTATATATGTATATATATATAAGCATCCCTCAACACTCCAGGCATTACCAGCCATTTCACGAATAAGTTATGCCAACTGGTGAAAACAAGCGTGGTGCGTTATGCAGAAGCAGCTGCATTGGGAATGTTATGCCCCCTGATGAGAACGTGGTGTGTGCGCGTATGTCTACGTATGAACTTGGTATAAATGAAAAATGAAAGAAGTGGTGGTTTGAGCTGCCTCTCTCACCCACCCTGTTAAACCGTCCTACCATGTGTTGTAAATTCCATATTTTATACAACATGCATAGGCTAGACTTGCACTCTTATAAATTGGGGGGTTGTTTAGTGTACCCTCCGACCACATTTTGTGGTTGGTGGGGATTGGTCCTTACCTCAGCCAATCCCAACCAACACACATTTGTGGTTGCTTGGGCCACAAGCAAGCTCACCCATTGGCCAACTTATTGGCCAATAGGGTAAGCTCCCCTCTCATCTCTCCCTTGCTCATTGCTTGTACTAAAGAGCCTTTTGACTCATTGTTTAGTGCATCAATTCTTCTTTCACACCATGCTACTTTTATCATCTCTCAGCTAACTCACACTGAGTCAACAATTCACACTTCTTGTGGTTTCCATCCTAACCCGTGCCATGTGCTTGACGCCATGTGCTTGACGCCGTGTGCTTGACGCCATGTGCTTGACGCCGTGTGCTTGACGCCGTGAAATGCATGGCAGGGATTTCCGTTGGAATCAACTGTCAGGCTCCATTCCCGCAGCCATCTCTCATCTGGCTGCCCTCTCACACCTGTGAGTACGCCTCACTGACCATCATCCCAGCAAACACAGGCCCGCCTTGATCCACGCTGATCCCAACTCTCAAAACCACGTGACTGCATGCAGAGACCGATGAGTGAGGACCTCACACACGTGACTGCATGCAGAGCCCATGGTGGGCCCCTGGTTATGCAGAGCCCATGGTATGGTGGACCGTTGATTATGCAGAGCCCATGGTATGGTGGACCGTTGATTATGCAGAGCCCCATGGTATGGTGGACCGTTGATTATGCAGAGCCCCATGGTATGGTGGACCGTTGATTATGCAGAGCCCCATGGTATGGTGGACCGTTGATTATGCAGAGCCCCATGGTATGGTGGACCGTTGATTATGCAGAGCCCATGGTGGGCCGTTGATTATGCAGAGCTCATGGTGGGCCGTTGATTATGCAGAGCTCATGGTGGGCCGTTGATTATGCAGAGCTCATGGTGGGCCGTTGATTATGCAGAGCTCATGGTGGGCCGTTGATTATGCAGAGCTCATGGTGGGCCGTTGATTATGCAGAGCTCATGGTGGGCCGTTGATTATGCAGAGCTCATGGTGGGCCGTTGATTATGCAGAGCTCATGGTGGGCCGTTGATTATGCAGAGCTCATGGTGGGCCGTTGATTATGCAGAGCTCATGGTGGGCCGTTGATTATGCAGAGCTCATGGTGGGCCGTTGATTATGCAGAGCTCATGGTGGGCCGTTGATTATGCAGAGCTCATGGTGGGCCGTTGATTATGCAGAGCTCATGGTGGGCCGTTGATGGTGCAGAACCCACGGCTGGCTGCCTCTGCACCGTCACCTCTGGGCGTGCTCTGAGCCGGGCCCTTGCTCATGCCTGTCAGCTTTTATTAACACCGTCCTTGCTCCATTCTCCTCTTCTTCCAATCAGCTTTTATGCACACCGTCCTTTGCCCCATGGCATGGTGATGGCATGTCCACATGGCATGGCATGGTGATGGCATCTCCACATGGCATGGCATGGTGATGGTGTGTCCACATGGCATGGCATGGTGATGGCATGTCCACATGTCATGGCATGGTGATGGCATGTCCACATGGCATGGCATGGTGATGGCATGTCCACAGAGACCTCAGCTTCAACATCAAATTCACGGGCTCCATTCCCCTCCAGATGCAGCGCCTTACCAAGCTGCAAACTCTGTAAATGAGCCTCTGTTTCCCATCTCACCACATTCCACTTTGACTCACCACCATTGACTGCCCGTAAAGTTCCCGTTTCTGTGAAAATGATGATCCGTAATTGTGTGCATCTTTGCTGGTGTGTGTGTGCCATGGGTGGGTGTGTGAGTGCGTGAATTTGTGCTTGTGTGTACGCGTGCATGCATGGTTGTGCGCTTGCACACATGCGAGTGTGGATGTGTGTGAGTTGTGTGTGCATTTGTGTGCATGCGCACGGGTGCATGCATTTGCGTGTGTGTGCGTGCGTGCCTCTGTGTGTGTGTGTGTGTGTGTGTGTGTGTATGTGTGTGTGTGTGTGTGTGCGTGCGTGCGTGCATATGCGTGTGTGTGTGTGTGTGTGTGTGTGTGTGTGTGTGTGTGATGCTGCACATATCTGTGCAGATACCTCAGCTATATGAATCTGTCAGGTCCCTTCCCATCCTGGATATCTGGTCGCACCAATCTCAGAAAATTGTATGATATCTGTGCTATTTTTCCCTCACCCATGGTCATAGAAAAACATATTAATGTTCTTTTCCCCTCCCGTCCATGCTCCACTCCCTTTCCAATGTATATCTTGTTGATAATAAACTGGACATTCGCTAGACTTGGATTCTGTGTTCCAGCGTCCTTTTATGAAGGCAGTTTAGGCTGATTAGGTGTGAAGTGTTTCATCGCCAACCTATCCAGCCTAATCCATCCAAAAATTCCTCGGTTGATAAATCCCTCGTCCCCTTTATTCCCCCCGTATCCCTTCCATTCCCAATAGATTCCTCTTACACCTCCATGCCCGCTTATTTTAAGCGAAGAGCCAACAAATGTGGCCAATATATGTACTCCGCAGAATTCAGCTGGTGTTCATGGTTAATGCGGTGTGGTGCAACTGTGCCAGCAAAATTTGTATTCATCCGTATTGTGCGACTATACCCTGGTCTCAAAAGTCGTATTGTGCGATTATACCCTGGTCCATTCCACTTACGTCATCGTGCATGTGGGGCTTGTTGCAGAGAGGCTGCTCACAACAGAATCGTTGGCAGCATACCAGAGTCGATTGGCAGCACCATCCACCTCGAAGTCTTGTATAAATATATACCTTCTGGTTTTAACTCCTAAACTTTCTGGTTTTTTAACCCATCAGCCTTCAAGTTTTGTGAACCATCAAACTTCAAGCCTTGTATTTTCTCCGACCCCTTCCTGTTGGGATTGTGGCATGGCATGGCCATCACATGTTCTCGTGCTATCACATGCCATGCCTTCACATGTGCTGACGATATCTGACACATATCATCACACGCTCTCATGCTATCACTTGCCAGCCATCACATGCGCTCATAACATCACATGCATTCATGCCATCACATGCACTCATAACATCACATGCACTCGTAACATCACATGCACTCATGCCATCACATGCACTCATGCCATCACATGCACACATGCCATCACATGTCCTCATGCTATCATATGCACTCATGATATCACATGTACCCATGCCATCACATGCATTCGTGCCATCACATGCACTCGTGCCATCACATGTATTCGTGCCATCACATGCATTCGTGCCATCACATGCATTCGTGCCATCACATGCATTCGTACCATCACATGTACTAGGGATGAGCAAAATGCCGAACGCCTGTTCGGTTCGCCTCGAACATGTTCGAGGCGAACCGAACAGGCCTTTTTTTTTGGCCAATTCGTTCGGGCCGAACATGTTCGAGGTTCGGCCGAACATGTTCGGCGTTCGACTTTGGAGTTGGCCTCTCCAAGCCGAACACGAACATGTTCGTGTTCGGCTTGGCTTCGACGCGAACACCAAAAGTGTTTGCGTCAAAATTGGCCGCGACCAGATTTAGGTCGCGGCCAATTTGAGTTTGAGCTCATTTCGTGAGCTCAAACTCAGAAGTTGTTTAGCCGCTTTAGTGCTCCCTCACACAGCCGCCCTAGCCTCCTTCTTCTAAGTGCAAGCAAGTGCACGTTAATAATTGGAGTGTAAACGAACTCACATTAGATTAGATAGAAGAACTAAGCATAGGGTTTAACGTTGTGTAGGGAGTTTATTTTTACTAGGGAGGGAAAGCGAGCATCTCCCGGGAAGGGCTCAAGTAGGGCGTACCATTCGCTCTAGGATTCGGATCGGGCATTAGGGACGTGCGGTGCGGCACCATCCAACGCTCACGTTGCCTTAGGGGGTTTTAGGGTTTAGGGTCGAGGGCGGAGTGATGGCGTCCAGGGGTGGTGGATCCATAGGCCGAGGTGCAGGCAGGGCTCAGGGCAGCGCACCGGGATCTCCACCACGACCTATGCAGGGGCGAGTAGGGGATGGACCGGGTGGAGCCGGCGCGATCTTCGTTGGGGGGTTGCTTACCGTACCGGCGCCGACCTCTCGTCGCTCTTTCCGTTACGACGGCCCTCGGCCCCCTCCTTCGGGGCAGACGCCGACACAGCCGGAGAGCGGCAGTGAGGAGGAGGATGAGGAGGAGGATGGTGAGGGCGAGAAGGAGGAGAACACTGAGGGGAGCGGGGATGACAGCGAGGCGGCGTGGGACCCAGAGACGCATGGCGGTGGGGAGGGGGGAGATGATGATGATGAAGACCACGAGATGGATGGGTTGGAGCCAGAGGGGCGGGAGGAGGAGGTGGGAGAGGGTGGTGGAAGGGCGGCGACAGAGGCGGGATCACAGCATGTGCGTGAAGGGGGGGGGAGCGTGGGGGTTAAGGTGGGAGGGGGAAAGGCCGTGACCATTAGGGAGCCGAAGCAGAGGAAGAAAGCGAACAAGTTGAGAGAGCGGGCGTATCCCTGCACGTTCACTGGGGAGCCCTTGGGCGAGGGTGTGATTCCACCCGAGTTCCTAGACGAGGACGGAGGGTCCGAGAGTAGTAAGGGGACTAGCAAGGGTAATAGGAGGCCGGGGTGGCAAGTTATGATGTTCGGACCGTTAGGGGCAGACGATAAGCGTCAGTGCAAGATTTGCACAGATAGGATTTCGTGGAAGCAATCCACAACAACCCCGGGCGAGCGGCACTTTGCGAGCTTCCACACTGCGCACATGCATGTGTGGCATCACCGTTACCACACCCCGTCGGTTCACTTGCCTGGGGAGACGTTTCCCCGAGGGGGCTACAAGGGAGTGCCGGATGGCTACGTCTATCAGTGGCCACATGCCAAGACTTGGCCGCAGCTCGCCAAGGGGAAAGCGATGGCAACTGGTGGAGGTGATGGGTCAGGAGGGATCGAGCGGTGGATGACAGCAAAACTGACCTCGGTGCAGCGACGGCAGGCGATCACGAAGCTGGTGGTCACCTGCGACCTCCCCTTCCGCATCGTCGAGGCCGAGGCTGTAAGTGCCCCATCCCATCCCATGTTTGATTTCGCAAGTATGCGGTTAGTGGACGTGTCTGTCACTTTGTGTTTTGACTGTTTGCGTGTGGCCCAGTGCAGTGCTATATTACCTTTATCGCATCCCCCTGACGTGTACTACCCTCTCCCCCCTTGTCTCTTCCCCTCTCCAGTTTCGTGAGCTACTCATCCTGTTGAACCGCAACTGCGCGCAAAAAAACTTCATCCCCTCGCGCTGGACGGTTTCCCGCGACACAGTGGTCTATTCGGCTGCTGCTCTTCAGTCAGCCATCGCGGAGATGCTGGCGAAGGAGGGGGAGCTGGGGTGCAGGGTGTCGTTCACCATCGACATGTGGACGTCACCCAACAACAGGGCGTGGCTGGTGGTAACGGGTCACTGGATCGACGAGGGTTACCAGCTGCGCACAATGGTGTTTGAATTCCGGGAAATTCACGGGCGGCACACGGGCAAGCAGATGGCGAGGGTGGTTGAGGACACGGTGGTGCAGTGGGGGTTGGAGACGCGTTGTCTTGGGTTCACCTCAGACAACGCCTCTAGCAACACTGCCGCTTTCAGGTGGATGTCGGAGGAGGGTGGTGGCCAGTGCTTCTTCAACTCGCGCATGCACTTCCGGTACGAAAGGGAGTGTTCCTGTGATGTGAACATGTTGTGGTTGTAGTACAGGCGGGTGGGCCAATGTGTTGTGTACTCACACTTCCCTTTCTCTCCGCCATGAATGTTTTGTGACGTGCGCAGATGCCTGGCACACGTGATCAACCTTGCGGTGAAGGCGGCACTCGCTGTGACCGCCATTCGCAAGTTGCTGAAGATTCTGAGAGAGATGGCGTCGTGGATAGGATACTCGCCGCAGCGCTCGGGGAAGTTCTTGGGCCTTCAGCGGACTCTGAACGCGCAGGGCAACCCCGCCAAACCGAAGCCAGCATTGAAGCTGGTGCAGGACAGTCCCACACGCTGGGGGTCGACACACGACATGGTCGAGCGAGCCGGGGTTCTGCAGGAACCCATCTCTGTCTACTTTGCCCAGACACAGGTGTGTGTGTGCGCCAGGTGTTGTGTATGCTGTTTTATGTGTTGGTATGTCGGTCGGCGTGTATTCTTCCGGCCCTTGCAGCACTGTTGGCCATGCTTGACTCAACTTTCCGGACCTCCAACAACCTCAACCACCCCACTTTCCATTCTATCCGTCGCCCACCCATACGTTCTACCCGACAGGGCGTGTCGAAGGCTGACAAGGCGAAGATGGACACCTTGCGCCTGACGGACGCAGACTGGGACACTCTGCATTCTGTCAAGACCTTCCTCAGCCCATTCGCCAAAGTCTCCAAGGCCGCAGAGGGAGCGGCGTACCCTACAGTGTCGATGGTCCTGCCGTACTACAACGGCTTGATCGACGCTATGGAGTCGCGCCTGGCCAAGGGGCCATCGGCTACGCTGAAGCCGATGATTGAGGCGGCGCTGGGTCTCTTGAAGAAGTATGAGTTGATGTCAAGCAACGAGCTGTGGATCGCCACCTTCCTGGACCCGTCCATGAAGGCGGCGTGGTTCGACGACGCGCACTGGGAGACGCTGCATCCCGACACAGAGCGGAGGGCGAGGCCTCGTCCCTCGTCAGGCGAGGTGATCCAGCTGGTTCGCGAACGCGTGGCCGAGTACCAGGCCCGGGCTGCAGCGATTGCCCCTCAGTCGACCCCACTTGCCCCAGTGACGGAGGAGGAGGGAGAGGAGGCGGATGACGACGAGGACGCCGAGTTTCTCCCTAGTCGCCGACGCCTTGCGGCGCGTCTGTCGGCGAGCCAGGAGGCGGGGAGAGGTGGGATGGTGCAGGATGACGAGGTTGGCAGGTACTTGTCAGAGAGGGTGCGGTGCGACGTGTCAGCGTTGGAGTATTGGCGCAGCGCCACCAACATGCAGACGCTGAGGCGCATGGCCCGGGATTATCTTGCCATCCCTGCCACGTCCGCGTCGAGCGAACGCGTCTTCTCCCTCGGCCGCAACCTCATATCCTGGAAGCGGCACCGCCTAGCCTCTCAGAGGACGCGAGCTTCCATGATTCTCAGATCATGGTACACCTCACACCCTGGACAGAGGATAGGCGAGGGCCGCCGTGCCAAGGGCGAGGCACCACCAGAGTTCGCCATTGAAGGCGAGGGGGAGGAGGAGGACGACGAGTGGGAGGAGGAGGAGGGGGAGGAGGAGCAGGTGGGGGTGGGTGCTGGCGACACCTCAGACGCGGAGCATGCTGTTGTTGGTAGTAGCAGTGGTGTGCATGCGTAGGATAGGAGATAATTTAGCAGTGACTTGACTTTTATATAAGCACTACATGATGGTGTCGTATGCTAGTGTGCGTTGCATGATTATATACACACCCTCCACCCCCCTATCTATCTTCCCAACCCTCCAGGTTCCGTGTCAAGCTGTTGTGACTATAATGAAAGTGGCCCTGGGCGAACTCGAACATGTTCGGGTCGAACATGTTCGAGTTCGCCCACACATAACAAATGTTCGCCCCCAAGGGCGAACGGCGAACATGTCCTGAAGCCTAAGTTGTTCGCCGAACCGAACTGTGTTCGGTTCGGCGAAAGTTGTTGTTCGGGCGAACTCGAACCCAAACGTGTTCGAGTTCGCCATTTGCTCATCCCTAACATGTACCTAGGGATGAGCAAAAAAACGAACACCTGTTCGGTTCGCCTCGATTCCTTAAAGTGTTCGCCAAACAGTGTTCGAGGTTCGCCCGAACATGTTCGTGTTCGGGCCTCTGCTGCAATTTGCCCCGCGACGAACACGAACGTGTTCGAGGTTCGCCCGAACACGCCTTCACAGGCGAACGGCGAACACCTATTTTGCTTAAAGTGTTCGCCGAACCGAACAGTGTTTGGTTCGGCAAAGGGATGTGTTCGTGTAGGGGCGAACACGAACATGTTCGTGTTCGCCCCTTGCTCTTCCTACATGTTCTCATGCCATCATATGCAGTCATGCCATCACATGCATGCCATCTCATGCAGTAGTGCAGTTCATGCCTATCATGCAGTCTGCAAGTCACTGCACCCTATCCCTACCGCGTCCTATCCCTACTGCATCCTATCCCTACTGCATCCTATCCCTACTGCATCCTATCCCTACTGCACCCTATCCCTCACTGCACCCTATCACTACTGCATCTTATTCCTACTGCATCTTATCCCTACCGCAACCTCTCCCTACTGCATTTATCTCAACTGCTCCCTATCCGCCACTGCTCCCTATCCCTCCTGCTCCCTATCCCTCCTACTCCCTATCCCTCCTACTCCCTTTCCTAGGCAAGGACAGACAGGCGAGCCCAGTCTGGCCCGTCTAGCTGGTTTGACTACAGGATTGCCAAATGATGAATCGCGCCGGTTCGCCTCGAAGCGCTGCCTGGCAAGGCCTGGACCCAGGACCCTTGCGTTAATTTTTGCGAAGGGGTCCTTCCTTGTAGGAGCATTCGTTGAAAATCTGAAGCTCATGTTTTAGCTCCAGCCTTCCTCTTGTTGGTCAGCCTAGTCCCCAGTCTCATTCTTCACAACCTACCCGTCCTCTCCACGGTGAATTTCCATTTCCAATAATTAGTGAAACTGATATGTCCAGCTCATGCTCATTCATGCCTGCCCTGGCCTATCCATCACTGCACCCTATCCATCACTGCACCCTATCCATCACTGCACCCTATCCATCACTGCACCCTATCCATCACTGCACCCTATCCATCACTGCACCCTATCCATCACTGCACCCTATCCATCACTGCACCCTATCCATCACTGCACCCTATCCATCACTGCACCCTATCCATCACTGCACCCTATCCATCACTGCACCCTATCCATCACTGCACCCTATCCATCACTGCACCCTATCCATCACTGCACCCTATCCATCACTGCACCCTATCCCCGGTGCCACTGCTCTCACTCGCGCACCCCTACCCGCCCCTCCTGCACCCGTATCCACCACTCTGCACACCTGGCCCTCACTGCATGCAATGCAACAGCTCCATGCGGAAGCACAACCTGTCAGGCAGCATTCCCGAGTCCTCACCCCTATCTGCCCCTCCTGCATCCCTATCCGTCCACCCTGCATGCACCCCTGGCCCTCACGGCATGCAACAGCTCCGTGTGGAAGAACAACCTGTCAGGCAGCATTCCCGAGTCCATAGGCAGCCTCACCAGGCTCAGCAGCCTGTCAGTCGCTCACCACCACCACCTGTTCTTGCACCTCATGCTGCTTTGGAGGCGCCTACCCTTGCACCTCATGCTGCTTTGGAGGCGCCTACCCTTGCACCTCATGCTGCTTTGGGGGTTCCTACCCATTGCAAGAGCTTATCTGCTGTGCCCTCCCATCAGCAGCCTCACAAGCTCTGTGAAGATTGTGGATTGAACAAGTGATTGAATTAGAGTCACAACCTAGCATACATAGTTTGGAAGAGAAGGTTGGAAGAGGAGAATGGAAGGGAAGGATCAAAGTGACCATAGGTTGGGTTGACCTCACTTTGGGAAGTGAGGGAACCATTGGTCAAGTGGGTTGGGTTGCCCACACTTTGTAGAAGTGAGGCAACCCTAGGCCCACTTGGCTTGGGGAAGCCTCAATTGTGGGAAGTGAGGTACCCACAAGTCAAGAGGGTTGCATTTGGGGGCTCCACCACAATTGGGTGGATTGGCACCCCAAAGTGCAAGACTACACCCAAAGTTGGGTGTAGTCCCAACCCAACTGTACACCACAATTGGCGTACAGTCACATGTGTTGGCATGCTACACAATGTATTTTAACACAACCCCTTAGCATGCTAACACAAGAAGAGAACAACCCCTGAGTCAAGGGGCGCCCGGGCGAGTAAGGCCAATGAGGCGGAGGAAAGCAGAGTGCGCGGGGCGAAGGAGGGCCTTAGTGAAGATGTCGGCCAAGTTGGCCTCGGACGCAATCTTGCGAACGGCAATGAGGCCCTTCTGGACGAGGTCGCGAACGAAGAAGTAGCGGAGTTCGATGTGCTTGGAGCGGGCGTGATAGACGGGGTCCTGAGTGAGGTGGATGGTGCTGGCGTTGTCGCACCAGAGAGTGGGGCATGTCTGGGGGGCGCCAAGCTCTGCAAGAAGGAAGCAGAGCCAGCGCGACTCCTGGGCGGCCATGGTGCCGGCGTAGAGCTCTGCTTCGCAGGTGGAGAGAGAGATGGCGGAGGAGCGGGTGGAGCGCCAGCTGACGAGGCCGCTGCCAAGGGTGAAGCCGTAGCCCTGGGAGGAGCGGCGGTCCGGCTGCGAGTCGGCCCATGAAGAGTCACTGAAGCCCGAGAGAAGGGGACGGGAAGGGCCGCCGAGGGTGAGGGCAAGGTCCTTGGTCCCGCGAAGGTAGCGGAGGACCCGTTTGGCAGCTTTCCAGTGCTCCTCAGAGTGACGACCGGTGCCGACAAAGCGAGCGAGCACGCTGATGGGGTAGGCGAGGTCGGGGCGGGTGCACATCATTGCGTACATCAAGGACCCAACGAGCTCGGCATAGGGGTGGGTGGAGGAGGTGGGGGAGGTGGGTGGAGCGAGCTGGTGACCAAAGGGGAGTGGGGTGGAAACAGGCTTGGCCTGCGTCATGTCGAACTTCTCTAAGACCTGGCCGATGTAATGGGACTGGGAGAGGGTGATTGTGCGAGCAGGGCGGTTGCGGGTGATGGCCATACCGAGGTAGTTAGTGAGGGCGCCAAGGTCCTTGCACTTGAGCCGTTGCTGCAGAGACAGCTTCACCTGCTCCATGTCGGCCTTGGTGTCAGAGAGCAGGATCATGTCGTCGACATAGACCAGAATGAAGAAGCGGCGGGGGGAGGAGCGGATGAAGAGGCTGGCATCGGAGTGGGAAGGAGAGAAGCCAAGAGACCCCAAGGTGGCAGCCAGCTTCGCATGCCACTCACGCGGTGCCTGCTTCAAGCCGTAGACAGGGCGACGCAGCTGCCAGACAGTGTTCTCAGGAAAGGCTGCGTGGAACCCGGGGGGCCGCCGGAGAAAAATGCGCTCATGCAGGTCACCCTGCAGGAACGCATTGGAGACGTCCATGGAGTCGATTTCCATGTCGTCACGCGCACCAATGTCCATGGCGGCGCGGAGGGTGGGTTGTTTGGCGGTGGGGGCATAGGTGAACCAGTAGTCCTCAGCCCAAGTCTACGTGAACCCCTTGGCGCAGTAGCGGGCTTTGTACACTGGTTCCTCACCCGGCAGCTGCTTCACCCGAAAGACCCATTTGCCGTCGACGAGATTGGCACCAGCAGGAAGAGGGACATCGACAAAGGAGTCGTTGCGAATGAATGCCTCACACTCCAGGAAGATCGCTGCCATCCATTTATCCGCATCAGGGCAGGTGATGGCTTCCTGGAAGGTGGAGGGAGTGAAGATGGTGGGGGTAGTGGTGGCGCCAAGGACGGGAAAGCCCAGGAAGTCAAGGTAGAGGGCGGCAAGGAATGGAGTGTGCTCCCGAATGTTAAGAAACTCCTCATGGGAGTCCTCAAGGAGCTGAATGGAGGCAGGAGGAGGAGCCCCAAGGATTTTGTCCACAGAGCGGGTATGGATGTAAGGGAGGAGGAAGGGGGATGAACGGGAGGTGGCTCGACGCCGCTGCTGCCGCTGGTGCTGCTGAAGCTGCTGCCCATGTAGCTGCGGCTGTGGCTGACCGTGTTGGTGCTGCGGCTGCTGGGGCTGCTGCTGCTGCTGCTGTCCCGGCTGCCGCTGCTGCTGGTGCTGCTGTCCCGGCTGCTGCTGCTGCTGCTGGACTGGCTGCTGCTGCTGTTGCTTTCCCGGCTGCTGCTGCTGCTGCTGCCCCGGCTGCTGTCCCTGTTGCTGCTGCTGCTGCTGCTGCTGCTGCTGCTGCTGCTGCTGCTGCTGCTGCTGATCCGGCTGCTGGAAGGAGGGAGAGGGAGAGGGGGAGGGAGGGGGGGGAGGGGGTGCGGCCGAGTGAGCGGGGGAGGCGGGTGCGTCAGGGTCGTAGACATCGGCGGAGGAGGAGGGCGGGAGCGGAGCTGCGACGGGTGGGAGGAGAGGGGCTGGAGGGAGAAGGGGCGGGAGGACGGTGTCGGTCCAAGCAAGAGGACAAGTGGGAGGAGGGAGGGGATCAGGGGGAGGAATGGAGTAATAGGGGACAGATTCGTCGAAGACGACGTCGCCGCTGCGGATGAGGCGATTGGTGGGAGGGTGGAGGAAGAGGTAGCCTGGGGAGTCGCGATTGTGACCAAGGTAAACGCATTCCAGGGCGCGAGGAGCAAGTTTGCCAGCGGCGTGGGAGCGGTCGGTGTTGGTGTTAGGCCCCAATCTCACATTTTGTACTTGTACTTTTATATCCTAGTTTAGTGTAGTTTGCACTTTGTGTTTGGTTGGGTGTACACCCACATCCCAACCAAACCCAAATGTAATCTCCAAGCAATCTCCAACCCACCAATTGGAGATTGCCTTGGGATTACCCTTGATTCCCTAGGATTGCCTCCTGATTCCCTCCTCATCCCTACCTTGCTCATTCCGGATGTACTTAAAGAGCTTTGAGCTCACTACTATAGTATCGATTCTAAGCTCAAGTTCTGACATGGTATCAGAGCGGTCTCGGGTTCGATTCCCAGTGTATGCACATGTAGGCCGTTACCGCTGTGCTTAGTACTGGGCCTCCCAGTGTGGGGGGGTGTCAGTAGATCTGCACTATGGATGCCCGATTGATCCTGGAGAGGGCTACAGGCGCGTTCGCCTGGGGGGTTATGGGCGCACTGACCCACTACTGAAATAAGCCCTTTTATCCCAATGGTCTAGTGGTTGGGATTCTGACATGGTATCAGAGCAGCTCAACCGCATACGCGGATCGTGATCCTCTCATCTCTGCGGATACTTGTCCCGCAAACCTCGGGGAAGCCATCGCCAATTTCGTCGCCGTTGATTCGCGACATTCATCGGCGGAATTTCTCCCGCCAAACCTTCCCGTCACCATCGACGGAAACTTCTCTGGTAAGCGCATCGTCGGCGCTCTAACCTAACACTCGTTTTCATCAATTCGTCACTTCTTCTCCTCGACGGGCTGCCGCCCGTCGCCCTGCAGCTTCTCGTCGGGCCGCCGCCCGTCGCCCCGCAGCGTCATCTTCGGGCTGCCGCCCGTCGCCCCGCATCTGCACTCCTACCCCCATCCCCCCTCTTTCCCGCAGCTGAACAGGTGCAGCAACGCAGCCGAGCAGCAGCGTAGCCGCGAAGCCGAGCAGCCGTGTAGCCGCGAAGCCGAGCAGCAGCGTAGCCGCGAAGCTGAGGGTGGTGTGTGGGGGGGTGTGTGGGAATAGGACTAGTAGGTAGTTGACACTAAATTGGCGTCTCAGTCAAATTCTCCTTCGTAAACCCTAAACCTCCGGTTCTTCAAAATCTCCTTTGGAAACCCCAAACCTCAAGTTCCTATTGGTGACTTAAGAGCGGCGCTCCGCGCGAGAAGTTAAGGGGTCTCCACCATGGCTTTCTCGTCTTCCACCATGGCGAACCCCATCACCCCGCTCCGCCTTGAAGCCGATGGCTCTAGCTCCAACTTCAAGGCGTGGAGCTACGGAGTTGACAAGCACCTCCTGAGCCGTGACGTGCAAGGCCTTGACCTCAAGGACGTCCTCCTCAACCGTGGCAAGGGGAAACAGCCCACTCTTCCCCGTGAACCGACCGAATCTTCAAGTGATGCTGACGTGATGACGTACGAAGAAGTTGTTGAGAAGTACCGGAAGTGGGAGAAGGCCGATGCTGCCATCATCAGCGTCTTCATTGCCTCCACCCCTCCCGAACTTGTCAACACGTTCCACAACTACCCTACCTCCAACGCCATCTGGAAGTATCTCCAGGATCGGTTCATGAACAAGACGGCGGTCGGAGTGGCGATTCTCATCCCCAGCATGTTTCAAGTCCGCCTTGAGGACTGCTCAGGAATGGCTGACTACATCGCCAAGGTGCAGACCATTCATGGTGAACTCAAGGAGCTGGGTATAGTCTTCCCCGAACAAGCCCCTGCAGCCGCCCTTCTTGTTGGTCTCTCCTCGGCATATGAAGTCACGAGGAAGATGCTCCTCACGCTCTCAGCGGAAGACCTCACCTTTGCTAAGGTCTCCACCGCACTCCTCTCTGCCGAGAAAGACTCCACTGCTCAGGCCAAGGCACACGCCATCCGTGCTCCCATGCCCCTAGCAAGTGTTGCAGCGGCCCTTGCCTCGGCG